TTGGTGAAAAATTGATTCAAAGGAATTTGTAAAAATATAGGAAGCGAGAGAGAGAGAGAGCACTTGAAGTAGTAGTAGGCATCAGTCACCGATTTGTCAAAGGAAATAGCAAAGATGCATGCAAGGCATCGTAATCCAGCAACTGCATATAACAGGTCTAGTTCTGCCGGGATGGGTGGTATGGGAGCAGGCTTACCGATTTCACCTGATGGTCCAATGGCGAGTCGTGGAATGTATAATACTGATTATAAAAACTACAACAATATTATTAATAGTAAACGCAGTGGTTTTGGGCGTAGCCAAGTGAGGCAGTTTGAACCAAGGCAGCCTTCAGTAGAGAAAACTTATATTTTCATGGAAGCTGGTCGGATGGCAGCAGAGTATTTGGTGAGAAAGGGATTGATGCCACCGAGTGCCCTTTCAGGGAAGTTGCCGAATGGCAGCATGAAGAACCAGACCAGTTATAATCAAAGTTTTGTGATTCCAGATGGGGATAATATGAAGTTATCCACAGAGAGTCGAAAGTCAGCTCTTTCTCGTTTGGGGAGAGCTGGCGACAGTGAAGGGCCAGTCGGGAAACCGTACCCCAATGATTATAATAGCTCCATGTCCTCAAAAGGTTATGTAAGAGGAAGGAGAAGACATGGCTTCTATAAGGATTCTGAGCAGGACCAAGAACTAGGTAGAAATGTGGCATTGCCCGATAGAACCAGGGTTTCCACGGACATGGAAGACCATTCCAATGCTTTCACACGGAAACAAGATGAAAATCATGCTGTTATAAATAGTGACAGTAAATTCCAAAATTCCATGGCCAGTGAAAGTGAAATAAATCTTGGAGCTGATGGCATTCAGTGCTTAGCTGAAGAATCAAAGTCCACCCTAAATAAAATGAAGCCAGCAGAAGATATTGAATCTCCAGGCAAAGCGGAGTCAACTGGGAAGTCTGACAAGGATCTAGCTGAGAAGTCTGATAATTTGGAAACCTCAAATCCCGAGGTTGGGGAGATTCAGGATGGTAGTGATGATAATGAAACAGAACCAAATGACATCAAAGATGATATGGATATTGATTTGAGTGCTGGCAAAGATAGTCAAACATACAAGAATGACATTGATCTGCTGAGCCTCTGCAGATTTGAAAACGTTCCCACAAGAATGCGCTCTTCATTGAAAGCTAGAGGTCCAAAGCTCTGTGCTGGTACCATGGCTGAGGAAAATGAAACTCTAGAGAGTGGGTTTCTGGAGGAGGTGGAGGCCCACAGGGGTGATATATCTATTCATATTTCCTCTGATGACATTTCTGCAAATCCAAAAACACTAGCTAGCGAAAACATCCAAAGTGGTTCTGAAAATTCAAAACTATCTGCATTCACTGTGATGGAAGAAAACAGCAACGAGGTTTCATGTTTGGCAGACCATCCTTTACTAAAAGAGGAAGGGGAAAATGAGGGAGCACACATGTTTGATACATGTAGCCCTGCAGAAAGAGGCGGAAAAAGACCATTAGAGGATGACATTGACAACATTAATGAGGTAAATAAGAGACCTAGAGAGATGGTTTTGTATGATGAAACAGACACAGGTGTCTTTCAATACTCTAATTCAATGACAAAGCAGCAGAGTTTACATGACCCAAATGAGGTGGCAGCATTGTTGTCACCTGATCATAACAATTTGGTAGATGTGTCCTTGTTTTCAAGTGATGTTCCGACCACTGAGTTTTCCGGAAAGCAACTTCTTCCTGGTTCAATTAAGACCTTTGACCTGAATCACATGGAACCTTCTGATATAGATCACAGTTCTGATGCTCATTCTTTTCTGATGTTCCCGTGCACCAAAGAATATGGAGTACTGACTACATCAGCTGACATTGGATTGTCTGTAAATGAGAATTACAATTTGACTACCAAATACAGTAGTTGCAGTTTTGGTGGCAGAGATATAGAGGTGATTGATTTGGAGAAAGATTCTGAGCAGGACAAGCCTTTCAATGATCCACAGAGGTGAGCGTTCTTTTCTGTTACATTCCTTTGAATTCCTTGACCAGCGGCTCCCTTGAAGCTCCATCACACCAAAATGGTAGGATATTTGGGGTTTCTTGCTCCCACCCAACACCAAATATTTTACCTTACAGTGGTTTACATGTTCATGATGCATACTTTTTAGTGTCTTTTCCTTTTTTTTTAAGAAGTGTCTTTTCCTTTTTGTTTCAAATAAAATTGGGAATATTCTTCTCCAGTACTCCCTCATTGTCTTTTATATGTCACTTAAGAGATGTTGTTCTCTAATAACGGTCACTTTGTTTACAATGGATATTCTAGTCTTAGACTCCTACTAAACTTCTTCTATCTGTAGTTTTAAAAAAATGTTGATTTCTTAGTAATATCTGCGAACACGTAAAACGAAACTAAAAAAATAACTTAATATTAGCTTTGACTTTTGCATTTTTCTGAAGCCTGAATTTATTTATAGAAAATGCTTAAGCATTACTTCCAATTTTGTTAAGTACACAAACTTTTTATTGGAGTGATGAACTCCAGTTTTTCGTTTATGCAAAGGCCTCGACTTTTTTACTAGTAAAAGGCTTCTTTTTATCGTATTTATCTGTGCAGTGTATGAATGCCCTTAATTTGTTTATCGCAAAATTGCAGTTCGGAAATTGGATATATTGCCCAGGACGAATCTTCTTCCAAAGAGGCAAATAACAAAAAAGAGATTGCTGATGCTCAAGATGATTATGGGCTAATGTTGTCAGAATTTTTTGGGGACATACCAAGCTGCTCTCCTGTACCGGGAGATATGAATCCTCTGCATCCCGATTTGGGCCTTCATAATGGAGAGGTATTGCTATTCACTTCTGCAACTCCTCTGTATTGATGATTTGAAGATGGTTTAATGTTAATTTCTTAGTGTCACCTGCACACACTATTAGGAACTATTGGTTTAAGATATTTATGCAATAGGCCACCAGTGAGAATGATGAAATTTTTGTTGGTTCTTGCAGGAAATTTCAAGCGACGATGATTCAATATATACTCTCTGGATGAAGTACCGATAAGTATGTTTAGGATTTCAGTTAGGCATTTTATGACATTTGACGTCATTGGTTACTAAGATGTAGCTCTGATTGAATGAAACAACTGGAGAATGAAAGGTGTCTAATAGTTGCATCTCATTTTAGTTAGTAAAATATCATTTTCATTTTCATTTACCCCAGTGCCGCAAAGGCTCCCACTACGGTGGGGTAAGGGGGGGTCGGATGTACGCAGTCTTACCCCTGTAATAAAGCAACTGTTTCCGGATGACCCATAGTGAAAATCGCGTCCAAAATTGCATGGACCGACTGCTGCTTCATAACAAAGAAGCGCGGACAATTTAGTGAGCCATTTTGCTTTATTCCATCATATTCTCGAGCCAAAAAATAATGAATCTTTGACTCCATTGCAAATGATGGAAATTTAGTTAGTAAAATATGACTCGTATAAAAACCAGAAAGATATAAGAACCAAGCTTAAAGAGAAACCTCTTTCGGCCACAGGGTTAAGCAAGGTGTCAGATGATATTTTAGTTATGGAGACTTGCTAATGGATAACATATATGTGCTTATGGAATTGGAAACTTGATTGCTACTATCCAGTCTCTTTCATAGCTTGGCAACATGATTTCTTTAATTTGTTAGTTGAAATAGCTTGTCTATATACACACAGGCACACACACATGCATTCATCTTTCTATAATCATTTGCTTACTATGGATAATGTTTTTGGAGTCGTGTTTTCTTTATTGTAATTTATCTAAAAACGTAACAAACTCCCTGCAGGCTTTTAAAAGACTGGCATCAACCACCTCAGGAGTTCAGGAAGCCATTTTGAGTTGCATTCTCTCCAGCTCAAGCTCATGGTATATTTGTAGCAAGAAAAAGCTGATAGTGTAGGCACTTTAAATTCTGCATCTTGAGTAGCGCTGAGCGGTACTACCCTTTGCAACTTTAGCATATCACAACTGGGCATGTAACAGAATGAGACATGATTTTATTGTGTTTTTTTATAAGACGTAGTTATACACTTCATAGATCTTGGTCAGTGAGCTTGCAAATCTTGATCCGCGAGAAGATCTCGACACTGAATCTGGGGAAAATTAAGTGCTTGGTTTTCGCATGACTGATGCTTGATTATATTTCAAAGTCAACAGAATGTGCCTATCATTGACATTATCTGCTGACTGACTGTTGGCTGCTTGGAAAATATTGTCATTTTAAAATTTGGTACTACCAAAACATGTCAATAATTACTCTTGTTTTGAAAATAAAAAACATGACAATCATATTTTAAAATATACAAATGTTTTTAGTTCTATTTAGGACAACTTCGCCTTATTCTAAGCTAGGGGTAGACCCTAAGCATAATGTAAGTGAAAAATTATAGGAAAAATAAAGGATGTAATGATTTGATAATTGGCAATGATATTGTTAGGATATTTTCCAATGGCCTAAGGTGGTCCAAACATAGATCTACTTTGAGCATTTCCTTCATAATCCATATCAAATACTCCATCTGTCCCATAGAAATGTTCCCACTTCACTTTTTTGGACTTCCCGTATAAAGGTTCTCATTTCCATTTTAGGAAACGATTAACGATCTTAAATGAAAAATTAATCATTAAATATTAAAAATAATTCATTTATAACATCACAGTTATCAACACTGACCTAGTTATATTATATACCTATTAAAATTATTTCTCAAAGTATACTCCAACTATCTTATTTGATTATTGTCTAAATAACTGTGCCTTTTTGACATGTGAATTTTTCAACGGGACGGAGGAAGTATCAAAAAAGGAAAGGATCTTCTTCAGTAGTTTTTTTTTCACGTCTCTTTCTTCCGTTGCATATTAGAACTCATTAAGGCTTGATTTGCATCATTATGTTAGATAAAAGGAATGAGGGAAGCTCCAATAGAAAATTGAATTGGAAAAATATTGATTATTCATCTCTTCAAAAACAGTGGATATTGAGTTCTCATAAGAGTCTTCATCAAATTGAATGGGGTCCCCAAATATTCGGGGTTACTTTTTCAAATAAAAGTTGTTTACATTTCTTTATGTACATCCGGAATTCTGATAGGCTTAATCCACTCCCCCAGGGGAGAAAACCGACATTAGATCGGCCCAGATATCCATACCAAGAGGTACATGAAGGTTGGGCGTTCCACCCCCATGTTACATCCATGCTAGCCAGGCAGTGGCAATGGCAGAGCAAAAAATGGCATGTTGGGGGGATGCTTAAGTAATTTATTTTGGGGGGACAAGACTTAGAATTTCACTATATTTTTTTAGCGCTTATAATTATTTATACATACATAGACATTACAAACTTTTTCTTGGAGGGGCGAGGGCCCTGCCAGCCTTCCCTGTCTCCACGCCTGGGCGGCGAAGAAGGTGAACATATATGAGCACATCAGTTTCTCAATAGCAATATAGGACTTGCGAGAGGGATCTCGAGCATCCTGAACCGAGTAGAGCAATTTCCATACCATAGCAGATGAGATTAATGCTTGGGCTGTAACCTTTTTTCCTGGTGCCTGAGATATGGAGGGAAAGCATTTAATAATGTATATATATGAGAAGACATTGAAGGACAATGGTTGATCCAATGAACTTTCAACTACCATGTCCTGCTATAACTACACCATCATTACTAACGAGAACATTTACTTCCTTGCATTGTAGCAATTGTATGAGAAAGTGGTTAGACAGTACATGTGTAATACGGAGTATTAAACTATTAATTAAGAGCTAAATTGGAGTATGTTTCAAGAGCTGGTTCATTAATTACATGCCTAATTCAAATTTCAAAGGGTTTAAGTTTAAATTTTGATTCTCCTCACTTATTGCCTACACCATTCCCATACATCGGAACACTCCCAAAAGTTTCGTGTTGAGCTTTTGGGTCATAGCAATTCACCTAAACACTAGGGCCGTTTGTGAGACCTTGAATGAAGTTTCCGTTTGTTCTGCCTAAGTTACGGACACAACCAATACCTTATTCGATCACCATGAGGCAATGTCAAGGAAATGAGCTAACACTATGGAAGATCTCAACCACCGGCTCTCCGTTGGGTCCGGTGTGAGAAAATTCAAGACCAGGATCAAGCTTGGGGACAGTCCCAACTCCCAACGTGTCCCTTTGTTCATAGATTGGAAGAAGACATGGAGCTTGCCAATCTAAGGTAGGGGTGGACCGGTTCCGGTTCGGGCCCGGTTCGGGCCTGGGCCCGGCCGGGCCTCGGTTCAGAAAAAGGAGGCCCGAGCCCGAACCGGTGGTGGGCGGTTCCGGTTCCGGGCCAGAACCGGGCCGGGCCGGGCGGGGCCACCCGGAATGTTTTTTTTTTCTTCTTCTCTTATTTAACCCCCTACCCCTCCCAAACCACCCCAAACCACCCCAAACCACCTCAAATGGCCCAAAATACCTAATCCAACCGAAAACTTAAAAAAATTTCAAAAAAAAAATTAAATTCCGGCCCGAACCGGGCCCGGGCCGGCCGGCCCGGTTCACTAAACTGGAGGCCCGGGCCCGGACCGGTATACCACCGGGCCGGGAGGCCCGAACCGGAACCGAACCGGTTTACCGGGCCGGTCCGGGCCCGCACAGTAGCAGGCCGGTCCGGTTCCGGGCCGGTTGGCCCGGCCCGAGTCCATCCCTAATCTAAGGGAGTGTTTGCAATTGCTTCAACTTTAAAAAAGTGATTTTTTAAAGTGATTTGGGGAAAAGTGATTAATAGTAAAAGTTGATAGTGTTTGAGGAAAAAGTGATTATGAAAAAGTAAAAGTTGGTAGTGTTTGGTAAAATAAGTACTTTTTGTGTAATAGAAAAAGTGAAAAGCAGTTTAAAGCACCCTTCCATCTGCTTCCAGCTTTTAGTTTTTAAGTTATTAATTTAAGCAGAAGCTGTCATTTGAAAACACTCTTTTTAACTTTTTTTAAGCCAAAAGCTGAAAAGTGCTTTTTAATCAACTGCAAACACTCCTTAATTCTTGAGAATGTTCGCTCAGACCCATAGGCAATTCAAGAAGACATGGTCTGGCCATTTTATATATTGAAGCCTGAGAAGCTGAGAACAGGACCTAAAATTCGAGTTCTGAGCCGCCAATTCCAATAAACTGGTCGATTCTAGGGATGGACTAGTCCCGGGTCAGGACGGGGTCCGGGTTGGGCTTAGGGTTTTTGGGCTTAGGGATGGATGCCCGAAACCGGAACGACTATATATATTGTTTTTGGGTTTTTGCTTATTAACTCTACCCCCCCCCCCCCACCCGCAAACACCCCCAAACCACCCAGCCCCACCCGACTCTTACCCAAACCAGTCCAAACCCCCCCCCCCCCCAAAAAAAAAAAACATTGGGCCCGGACCGGTACCAAGAGAGGTTCAGCCCGAGACCGCCCCCAAAACACCCTCGGGCCCTAGGCCCGGTCCCGGTCAACCGGGTCAATCCGGTCCCGCACAGTGGCGGTTTGGTCCTAGACCGGTCAGACCGGTCTCGGGCCATCCCTAGTCGATTCTAGCTCCAATATAGAGATATAATTCAGATCTTGTGTGAAAAGAAAAACGAAATCCGTACAAATCATGACATAAACCTGAAAGGCTGTTCGGTAGTTCCACATTAAGATTTTGCATGTAAAATGTTTACATGCCAAAGTGTTGGGAACCAATTATCATGCATCTAGTTAGGTGTGTAGCGCAAATTTAAATTGCAAGCGAAGTATTTGCATTTTTAATACTAGGTATTAATAATGATGTAAAGTATTCTCTCCCCTCAAATGAAATATTTTACGTCATTCGCAAAATGCTTAAATAAAATGTCATACAATTTATGTTTAAATACAATTAAATACAAAATGCTTAAATAAAAAGTTACACTATATAAACTCTTTGTTTCTCTACGACTCTCTACATATGCAGAACTGAAGGAAGGAATTATGGTATTTGTTGTTCACAAGATAGAGTAGGGATGGACCAATCCAATTCTGGGTTAGTTTCGGTGCCGAGGTTTTGGCCTTTGGGGTTTGAGATACCTTGAACCGAGACCAATGCTGGTTATTCTGGTTTGGGGCCAATTTCAATCCCGGTCTCAGTCCCAATCCCTTTTTCTTTAAATCTTCTTGTGCATCTATTAAGGGGTGTTTGGATCTGATTCTCAAAACTGATTCTGCTCCTTCAAGGAGCAGAAGGAGAAGCTGGAGTGTTTGAGTGAAATTCCAGAAGCACTTCTGGTGCTCTAATTTACTCTCAGAATCAGTTTTTTTAGAAGCTGGGGGGTACTAACTCCTGAAAACTGATTCTGATTCTGCTTCTACTTTAAAAAAAAGAAACAGAATCAGTTCCAAACACCCCCTAACTCTCCCAACCGCCGTCTATAAAGCAAAGCAGAATCAGTTTCAAATGAATTTACACCTCTTAAAACAAATGCTTCTAAAGCTTGAAATGCAAAAAACAAAAACAAAAAGACCAAACCAGGATCAGACCTGCCGGTTCTGGTCCCTACAAACTACGCCCGGGACCCGTTAACCCCCAGGGGCCAGTCTCCTAATCGAACTGGGCAACCCGATCCTAGGAACTGGTCGGTTCCGGTTATGACCGGTCCACCCCTAGTTAGAAGTAACGATTACCCTTGTAAAGATAAAAACAGAAAAATGCCAAATTCCCTTGTGATAAAGAAATAAAGAGCCTCCAGGAGGGGGTATATGGTTATGAATATTCATCACACCAGAAATTATACACCATCCATATATGTCTTAAGTTTGTACAGGCTGGGAGGACTTATATTCAAGCATCTCAACCCTGTATCTCTCTTTATCTCGCAAACCCTTTTCCTGATAAACCTGAAAGAAATAGAAGAGAATGACCATATTCCTCAAATGGGAGATGCAAAGCAATGGAAATACCACTCAAGTGGGCATCTCGAGCCTGGGCCGGAACATAGTGTTCCAGATCCGGACCTACCAACTGATTTATAATTCGAGATTCAATCCGCGTAAGGGAAGGGTCTGAAATTATTGTTCCAAACCCAGACCCAATAAGTCCCGGAATTGGGTCGGGTAGACCCATCCAATATGAAATTAACAATATTGCAATTTTCTTTTATGATAGTATATTTAAAAAGGGGAAAATAATTAAAATACCCCAAACTTTGAAGAAGTGTGAGATAAACACCTCATACTTTCATATGTAATTTAAATACCCCAAACTTTATATAAAAAGTTATTTTAGTACCATGGCCATATATTATTTTTTCAAAAATGTAAATTTATGAGGTTAATTGCATAATTTAAAATAGCAAATTAAAAATGATGCAATTATGTAGAGTGGCGGTAGTATTATTTATTTTATAATGAAAGTTTAGAATGTTAATTGTATCTTCATGAATGCTAAAATATTTTAATTTATGAAATTAACACCAAAAACTAACATTTTTTGAAGAAATAATATATGACCATGGTGCTAAAATAACTTTTTATATAAAGTTTGGGGTATTTAAATTACATATGCAAGTTTGGGGTGCTTACCTCACACCCCTTCAAAGTTTGGGGTATTTTAATTATTTTTCCCATTTAAAAAATAAACATTTTTCATATCATTTCATATAAAAATCCCCTCGATAAGGAATATGTTGGAGGCCAACAGAATTGTTAATGAAGGGGCATTTTTGTCTATTCGTACGGGGTTGGGGTGCAAATAAAAAAAATTTTAAAAAAGGGGGGTGCAAAGTCTAATTTGGACAATAAAATTGGGTGCAAACTCAAATTACCCAAAAATAAAATTAAGAGTTTGGAACATAATAGGTACATAGTTTTGGTAGCAAAATTAGTTCATTTCTCGTTAAAAATAAACAAAAAGAAAAAGAAAAACAAGTGTTTGCTTTTAAAACAAAAAGATGTGTCATGTGTGTAAAATGCAGTCACTAGATGTGTGTTTGTGTTTATATATATGTGTGTCAGTCAGTCAGTGTGTGTGAATAGTGGAATAAATTATGAGAATATCTAACGGGCATGGGTCCTTAACAGGTCGGGATCACATGTTGTGTACCCGATCCATTAATAATACTAAAATAATGGATCCAGATCCGGGTAAATGGAATAAAATATAAACTCATATCTGGAAAAAAAAAATAAGCGGGTCAGGGCGGGTCAGAGTCTAAACCCGGCCCATTGACATACTTAAACTGAAGTATATGTAAGAGAACAAATATACCCGTCAGCTTTCTTTTGGAACAGTTAAGCATCAAATTTGTAAAGGTAGAACATATACTATTGAACTATAAAGAGAAAAGCATCATATAACTATTAGCCATTTTGCAACTTGACCCTTTAAGAGAATGACCTTACATATACACCCCTCAAGTCATTAAGAAAAGGCAATTGAGCCCTTTTTACTAGCTGGTGCCGGTAACATCCATGTTACCGACTTAGTGGCACCATCAGGTAAAAAACAGTTCAATTATTTTTTTCTAAAGAGTTCAGGGGTGTATTCACAAAGTATCCAATTAAGGGGCGCACTTGCAGATTCAATAGGAGTTTGAGGGCTCATTTGACCCATTTCTCAATTATAAATTAGAGAGCTTATATACCTTGTATGTCCTAATAGTGAAGGAGTATATACATTCTTTATTTAGGTTCACATCTTCTCTGTCGTATAGTCCAGGGGTATATTTATTTTTATCCCTTCTTGATATAGGTGCACAAGTTCATTCGTGAAAATAAATAATATGCCGCACAATACCAGAAGAGAATAGACTAAACCAAACCAGCCAAATTCAGTACAAAAGAAGATGCCTAACTTATGAGTTAATTTATGGTGTATTGTGAGATGCAGATACCCTGAATAGGATTTTTGAAAATTAAAAATATTACCTGTTTCTCAGCATCTGTGAGCCGGCTCCATAACAGCCCAATTTCCTTGCTGATAGCTTTTGCATGGCCCTGATGTGAAGGCTTAAGCTTGGCATACTGTTCGGCATAAAAGAAATTGTAGCCACTTAGATTTTGACGTGGTCGAGAGTGATCCGGTAGTGCAAGCTGGTATTTCTTTCTAGTCTGTTTCGCAGGTCCGCTAGAAGTACTAGCACTTTGAGGTGAGTGTGGTTGTATAGGTTTATGATAAAGAGCACCATTCAATACCTCCGACCCCATATTCACAGTAATTACATAGCCATCTTCAAACTTTGCATCAATTGTGCCAATAACTGAGTTGCCAACTTCAAGACTGTTGGGAGTCTCTGCATATCACGTTGAAAACTTTGAATAGTTCTTACAAGGACTTGTGTCTGTTAATAGTCTGCACTAACGGTCTAAAAGCTGACCTGAATGTCCAATCTTGGTGGCATCACCATCCACAGGATGCATGGTTTGTAAGGAACTGGAAGTTTTGCTTGTAGTATCTGCGTAGATTCAAATGATGAGAACAGTTGGGCAGGGTCATGGTAAGACAACCCATCAAAGCAGCACTCCTATGATGAGGCTTTCTTGGCCCCAAGCTATCCTTTTTAATTGCTTAGTGGTAGGATTAGCTTTCCTATTACTATTTGATTTCTTGTTGTCTTGTTCTTAGATTCATAGAACTAGTCTCTTAGAGCTATTGTGATTGTTCTGTTTGGGACTATAAAAAACCCTTTGTATTTACTAATAAACATCAGCGAGTGATATTAGCTTAAAGATAAGGTCTTCTATTGTTGTGCGACAAAAATTAGTCTCTTTGCACTGTGTGAAAGGACTTCGATAATTCCTGCCCACCATTGGGGGTTTTACCTCAAGCTTATCTTAGATGCCAGGCAATTTTACACTATTATGAGTCCTGGTGCAGTTTTAATCTTGAAATATGTTTCAAACATTATACTATCATTTTCTTATTTTACTATTTTTCCCAAATATCATTTGAAGTATTACAATATCATTATTTGAAATATTTTTCAAACATTATACTCCCTCCATCCCAAAATGGTTGGCCAAATTTCCTTTTCTGGCCGTCCCAAAAAGGTTTGCCATTTCCATTTAAAGTAAGGAATATGTGGCTAAAGTTAGTTCTCTCTCCTCTGCACAAAGTTCAACCACACAATTTTTACTTTATTAATCCACGTGCAAGTCAACAATGACCAACGATTTTGGGACGAAGGGAGTAATATCATTTGAAATATGCTTCAAAATATTTCCATCATTTGTAATGGAGACAAAGATTCACTATTTTTTTGGCTTGGGAATATGATGTAATAAAACAAAATGGCTCACTAAACAGTCTCTTTGTGCTAGCTTTAGTACAGGGGTAAGGTTGCGTACATCTGACCCCCCAACCCCACCGTAGGTGGGGGCCTTTGCAGCACTGGGGTGATGATGACTATATTTTTTCAAAATATAAAATAATAAAACAACTCTCTTTTTCAAGAAAAAACTAAAAGTTTTTGCATCATATATAGACTATATTTTTAAAATGTTGGGCTTCTAAATTAGGAGCTCATTGTGATAGCCCATTTTGCACACCCAACCAGACGGTCCGGCTACACGGAGAATTCGTGTGTATAATATATCAATCAGTGTCGGGACTCTGGAGGTACCAGTGGCAGATGAAGGCTCTTCCTTGCGGAAGTAATAGACCTGCTCAAAGTGATATAACACAGAGAGGTAGTACTTTCTCAAGAGGAACGATGAACTTGTTACATAGGATGGAAAACTGAAGGCCCCAATCACGTCCTCCCATCGTCGATCTCTAATAACCTGTCCATTATAAGATGTGATCCACATAACGCATATAACAACACAACATTGTCAAGTAGTCATACAAAAGAATAGGAAAAGTTATGATCAAGGATAAATGGCTTTGCAGCTATTAAAATGACATTGTTATGTTCGGACTTGTTCATCCAAGAGCAGAAGTTTCAAGTAATTATAAGAAAGTCAGGTTCTTCAAACAGCTAGAATTTCACCAATGGATGAACAATTAAATGCATTTTACTTTCACATAATAATTAGATCTCCTCACTCTTACATACAGAAAATACTCTAGAGTTGAAATGTAGTACTATGATCCTATAAGAACATGTTTTAATGTTTCGGAATTCTGTAGCACTACAAATAAGCTTTAGCATACTGAACTCAAAGGTTGTACATAAAATAACACTGAACGTAAAGGTCAATATTCTCCTGTTCCAGATAAAGTGTTTTTGCCATCTTAGACGTGGGCAATGAACATAAAAAATGACCATTAAGAAAACATACCTTATCAATTCCTCCTTGCAACGTAACCTCCACAAAAAGGCGGTAAAGGTCTAGAGGCTTTCCTGCTACAGTAGGAATCCTGAAAGGATAAATTAAAACAGAGTGGTCACATTGTCAATCATTTAGTACTTCTCGTACTTCTTTCATCATAATTACTAGTATTTTTTATCCATAATATTTTTTTAAAGCAAGTCTTTAAAATTTATAAGGGATAGCTAATATCATATATATATATATATATATATATTGGGGTCGGCTAACATGATACTACATATAATCAGGGGCGGACCTATTATAGGTCAAAGGTGTTCATGTGAACACCCAAATTTTATAACTAGTAGTGTAAAAATACATGTATATGGGTGCTATTGTAAAATTTTCTATATGTATATGAACACCCAAATTTTATAAAATAAATTTGAACCTTCAAAACTAACATCCAAGATCCGCCACTGCATATAATACACACACACAATATATATATATATATATATACATATATATATATATATATATATAGACAATCTTTCATGTCCAGCTGGCCTGGCGGAAACCACCGTCCAGCCGAGGCCATTTGAGTCCCTTCCGGTGGAATTTTTTGATGATTTTTTTGGGCATGTTCTTCATCATGTCTAGTTTTTTTGAGCATATTCTTAAAAAAATTATTTAAATGTCTTCCAGATTGAATTTTTTGCTGAAATTTGGTGGGTACGAACTAGAAGGTAATAAAATATAAACTCACTAGGTAATAAAATTTGGTGGGTAAGAATTTTTTGCAACAGTTGGTCATTTAGCTTAAATATATAGGGAGCACTACCTAATAGACTCACTATTATGGAGTATAATTATACTTGGTATAATTTATAGTTATGAAACACCCACTCTTAAATGTTAAAAGTATTAGCAGTAGCCTAGTTGAAAAATTCTTTTGGCCTTGGTGCAATTTGCCCGGCCAATCTGTTTTTTTTTCTTCTTGGATTTTAGTTTTGCATGTGGAAGATCTCTATCCCACACCGGAAGGAGAGGAAATCTTCCTCCATCCAAAACATTATATATAGCGAATATCCGTGTTTGTTGGTTAATCTTAAGTGGTCAGCTACTCTTACGATCACTTAGCAGCCTATATATGGGTTGGGCTAAAAATAATAGTTAAAAGTTTTATATTTTATAGGACGATACGCCTTTGCTCAAGCATTTTGACTACGCGGGCCGTAATGGTAGCGACACCTTTCTGGGCCTTTCAGAACAATGCAGATGGCCTAAGTACTCTTAACTACGTAGTATTTAGATAAAAATGGGCCCTCCCTTCAAATTGGGCCCTGTGCGACCGCACTGCTTGCACAGTGCCAGGGCCGGCCCTGATTACACTTTTGAACAAAATTCCGAAACTCACAGTGCTGTGTGAGCTAGGGTTCCAGCAATGCCAATTGGCCAAAATAGACTCTTGGAGTCAATCAGGTATCCACATCACGATTCTGCTCAATAATTTTGCAAGCATACAGGGAGCGCATATGAAATATACTCATAGGTGATACATGTGGAAAAATTTAATCACCAAATACAATAGAAGCGGTAAAATGTGAGAATTATGGTAATGGCATCCATCAGCAAAGAACTTCTTGAGCAGTTGAGCTCTACAACCTCTGAGGCTCTAACTAACAAATGAAGCACTAGAGAAGCATGAAAATACCACAAAATATAAAGATGAAGATAAAGATGAAGAAAGAAAGAGACGACTAACGAGTATTTGGCACCCAATGAAATGTGAAAAGCTTGAAGCTTTTGCCAGAAAAGCTCCGGGTTTCGAACGATTTCCTGGAACTCAGCTTCGGGCTTAGGGTATGAGAGAGGGCGTTCGGAATTAACAGAAAAAACTGTTTCCACGGCTGGTGTGACAGATGACATGTCTAGCGCCCAAGAACCAGCAATTTTCCCACAGCTTGCAATGCCAGAAATGTAGCATGTAAAAGCCTACCCCTTCGTCTAGAATCATCTTTTTATTTTGTTATTTTGTGGCCCATATAAAATTATTAATTATACTCCGTATAAATAAAACATTTTTAAAGGGTCTCAGAATTATTTTACTCCATAAACTAATAAATTCATTATTTTAATCTTTATTTTATTCATTCGTCATTTTTTACCATCAAATTGACGTAATATTCAAGATCTTACACATAAAAGTCATTTTATATTTAAGAAATTGAGGAAAGAGTCAATTGAGTACATCAACTTGTATAAGGTGTTGTAAAGAGAACACTATATTGCATTTGATCTTTTTAAGTACACAAATTCGGAACAAACTACAAAGAGTATAATTATTTCATTTATAAAGAATACACACACATTTTACTCCAGGGAGTCTGGGGGGAGGGGGTCTGGAGTAATCTGGACTGAAACTAACTCTATTGAGTTTCGAACCCTTATGTGTCTAGCAGGTTTTGAACTCGAGTCCTCTCACTAGGTACGGTAACCTCACAATCAGCTGGGCTGGAATGCTTGGTTCATACATATATTTGAAATATTTTGTAATAATGAATTTCATTTCAAGGTTTTGAAAACTTTATGGAGTTGGTTCAAAAAAATCGCATATAATTTGAAAAAAATCAGTTTGTAGTTTGAGATACTTTGTATATTCCGGTTCTACCAAAGCACGCATATTTTGAAATGTTTTATATATTTCACATTTCATTCAATTTATACACTAATTCTATATTTCAAGCCTGTGCTATGCACGAATGACTAATATTATGCGAAAAAATAATTTAACTAATTTTATTTCATATTCATACATATTTATCCATACACACAACTTTTTTTTCAAAACACAGTATAATTTATTTATTCTACAATATTAAGTTTCTTGTTATTTTTATTTAAAAAAACATATAAAATAATAACTAAAATTTTCAGAAAAAACAGTGAATATAATATTTTGTTAGTAATAAGAGTATAAAGATTAGTTTTCGGTATAAGATATGTAATAAACGAAATAAAGACAGAAATGGGACTCCCAACTTTCCTCCGGACAAAAGTAGGACCTAATTTATTTTGGACGGAAAACAAATTAAATAAAATTGAATGGACATAAACACCCTGGCTCCCGGCAGGGCCTGGCTCTATCCCCTTGTCCTTCGCAACTGTAATCCAAATCCTTCGCATCTGTCATAAACACTTTCTGCCTCCAAATCCAGATCCGCGTAGCCTCGAATGTGCAGGTCTCCGCCTCCGAAGCCAGGTCGTTGCCTCTCCTCCGTCTTCTGGTCACTGCCTCTGAGTCGCCGCCTCCGCCTCCAGTTCGTTGTCCGCTGCTCGTCTTCTTAATTTTTGTTTGGCATATTGCAATGGAGATGAAGAGTCTTGGGTTAGAAGAAGACTACGACTTCAAATCGGCGTGGTGGTTAGTTTTTTTGGGCGAGGGCGGTGGTCTGTTGGAGTTGGAGAAGGGGGCTGCCGGAGCGCCGGAACTCATCGCCGGAGAGGGGAGATGGCGTGCAGTGGTTGTGGGCTGAATATGGTGGTGGGATGAGGTGGTTCCGTGGTTGTAGGGGATGGGGCTGGATTGTGGCAGTGTTTGTGTAGGGAGTGGGGGCTGGGAAGGGGACTGTTGCGGTGGCGGCCTGCCGGAGGATGTGCGTCAACGGCAAGCGGCGGCGGATGATGGCAGGCAGTTTTGCCTGACGGTGGTTGCTAGTACCGGTCAAATTTAGACGGGGTAACTCTAAATGGCTTACAGGTTAACTATAATGTCGGACTAGGTAACGGTAATTGGTCGGGTAATCGTAACTGGTCAGATCGGGTAACTATAACTGACAGATCGAGTAACTATAACTGATGGATCGGGTAATAGTAACGGATGAATTGATAACTGTAACTGGTCGGGCGAGTAAATGTAACTGTGTAAGTAGTCGAATGTGTAACGTAACTGATAAGTTTGGGTAACTGTAATTGATCGGGCCGGATAAATGTAATTGATTTGATTGGTTAATTGTAACTGGTCGGGTTGGTCACTATTAATTTTGGTCACTGACAGATTTTGAATTTTTGGTCACTAATAATTTTTTGTCACTGGAGGATTTTGGTCACTGACGGATTTTTGGATTTTTTGTCACAAATGATTTTTGGTCACTGGGTGGATTGGTCATGGTCACTAGTCAGATTGGTCACTGGACGGGTTGACGTTGGTAACTAGGTAAAAATTTTGGTCACTAATGATTTTGGTCACTGACGGATTTTTGGATTTTTGGTCACAAATGATTTTTGGTCACTAGATGGATTGGTCATGGTCACTAGTCAGATTGGTCACTGGACGGGTTGACGTTGGTAACTAGGTAAAATTTTTGGTCACTAATGATTTTGGTCACTGACGGATTTTTGGAATTTTGGTCACAAATGATTTTTGGTCACTGGGTGAATTGGTCATGGTCACTAGTCGGATTGGTCACTGGACGGGTTGACGTTGGTAACTAGGTAGAATTTTTTGTCACTAATGATTTTGGTCACTGACGGATTTTTGGATTTTTGGTCACAAATGATTTTTGGTCAGTGACGAATTTTGGTCACGATAATGGTTTTGGTCACTGTGGCGTTATTGTAGACTAATGAGTGAGATTCTATTAAAATAAGGGTGTAATAGTCTCTTAACCCATTGTTAGTCTCATTTTTGGAAAATTGAAATAAAGGTCTCTTTTTTGTTCATAGCTCTTTTTTTAGTATTATTTTAGACATAACCTCATAAGACAATAGTTTTTGTTGAGACAAAATAGTCAATGTATTCAAAACATAAGAGTAATGAATAAAAAACAATAAAATTACATTTCAAATCACGCTTAAAATAGGAGAATCATTTAAAAATACAAATTCCAATTTTCAATTTAAAGATATGAAATAATACGGATAAATATGATATAATAAGTAAATTTTGACTACATGAACATTGAGTGATTCTCCTAAATAAATATAAACCATATTTATCAAGATTTTTATATTCTCCATAAATTTATGGGGATATTATTTTATACTAAACGTGCATGTATTTAGGATAAGAATAAATAAATAAATTGAATTAATTTCAGATTTTTACATTCTCCATATTCATTTCATATATAGATTATCAGGTTAAGGAATTGAAATAATAGTGATCAAATATATACTACATAATGTAATAGTGAAATTCTCGAATTAAATATAAAAACTATTTATCCTTATTGTTTTATTCTCCATAATATTATGAAATCGATACTTTCTACTAAATGTGCATGCATTATTAGAGATACACAAAATAAATAAATTGATTTATTTTTAAATTTATTTATTCATTTTTTCTAACCAATATGTTTTCATTGTTAGTTTTCCAAAACCTAACAATGTGATGTTTAGTGTGTGTCGTGTTTTACATTACAATGTCAATCACTTTTTAATACTCTTTCATTTAATTAATTTACTATCCACAACAAACAAACGTTTATTTAACATAAAATGATGAATTATTTATATGTTGTATAAATATATTCCGTTTCTGTACAATAAACTAGTAAGGTGTGCCTTGATCCTTACCCCCACTTTCAGTAGAATAAAATCGGGACAAAACAATGTTGTATAAATATGTACTCCCTCTGTCCCTTTTTATTTAGCCAATCACTATTTTCCAAGTCAATGATGCTCAAGTTTGACCGCTTATATATTTATACACGATAATATTGATAATATGAAAATGATATGAAAATGTTCTTTGTTAAAAGTACTATCATAAAATTATAAATTTCTTAAGTTTCACATATATACATTAGTTAAAATAATGGATCAAAGTATATCATTTTTATCTGGAAAAGTCAAAGTTGGCTAAATAAAAAGGAACAAAGGTAGTATCTTATAAAGTGTTCAAACATTTCCAAAATCTGACCGGGACAACGTTCGGGTAAAACACTAGTTATTCATTTAATTATATTTAAATGATTCAATTGCAATTGTTTTTTTTTGTAAAAAAAAAAGAAAAACGATTCAATTGCAATATTTTAAATTTACGTGTGAAGTAGACAAAACAATGGAATCAAGAGATGACTTACCCATTCAAGTAGAGATGTATAAAAATCTTCTTCAATGCAATTTCGAACTAATATATCATATATATATTGCAATCACGTGGGATTGGGGAAGCATTTACTTGGATTGAAATTCTCTAGTATAGTGTGAGTTGGTCTGTCTAGATCTATTTAGGTCCATGTGTATTTTGTAACTGCAGAAATCTGGTTTGGTTTAGTCTATTAAACACTGGTCCGATCTATTTTAGTCTAATCTAATTTGGTGTAGTTTGAGACTAAAATAAATTCAAGTAAAATCATCGTGAATGATTTTAAGGTTTAAAATATTATCAAATGCTCGACTAATGTAGTGTGAAATTAACAACCATAATCTACGAATAAATGAGTTCAAACGAGCCAATCTGTGGGTTTCGGCTCATCTTGACCGTTCTGCTATAGAGTAGTAAAGTTAATACTCTTCCCGTCCCATTTTAAAGTTCTTATTTCTATCTTAAGAAACAATTAACACTTAATCATCAAATTATCATCGATGTTTTCATTACATTATATACCCATAATTTTTTTTAATTTTTTTTGAATTGTTTAATTTAATTATTGTTTACTTGATAGTGTCATTTTAGAATGAGAATATGAGGATGTAGGATGTTTTTACCTAAACTCAAATTTTCTGGTTGATTTGATCTGGTTTGATAAATGTCAAGTCTCCATATATTTTATACTCCGTAATTGTTTAAGTTATAAACAATTATATAAACAGTTTTAGATAGGGGTGGGAAAAACCGAACCGAAACCCGGAAACCGACCCAAATTATGATCCCGGTCCGGGTTTTTTCTTTTTAACCGGACCGAATTAAAAACAAAACCCGGACCGAACTGAGAATTCCGGGCTCATTAGCGGGCCTTAAAATCTATAACCCGGTCCGGACTGAAAAAATCCGAAACAATTAGTTTTAATATAAAATTAATATAGTATATGAATATAAATAAAATATTTCCTAATATATGATTACAATCACGGTGGATAAAAAAGATTTAGTAACTTTTAGTTACTACAAATATGTTGAATTTGTTTAGCGTAATGATGACCATGAGAATATATTTATAGCAACTCTAGTAACTTTTTGATTTATAAAATTTATTTCGTAATATTTTTAAGAAACCTATATTATTTATATATATACATCTTACATAAAATATTAAGATAATTATCTTCTTTAAATTTGAATTGTTGGTGATTTCGGAGACTAATATTTGTGTTATTATTTGCGGTTTGTATTTTTGATTAATTTTATTTCAAAATAAGTGTTAAAATATAAAAGAACAATGACATATTTCACGGTCGTGCTTTAACCGGTCCAACCCGAACCCGGACTGAACCCGGGCTACCAAAAACCCGACTCGGATCGAATGTAATGGGCTTTGTTCCGGTCCCTAATTTTCATAACACAAGACCTTCCGGGTAATTTTCGGGTTTAACAAAAACCCGACCCAGACCTGACCGATCCTACCCCTATATTAATACTTTTACTATTAATCACTTTTCCCCAAATCACTTTAAAAAATCACTTTTTTAAAGTTGAAGCAATTGCAAACACTCCCTTAGTCAGGTGGAAGAACAACAGATAAGATAAGTTGGTGACTGGGCATCTCAAAGTCAATCCAAATCTCTTATTTCGGGGGATCCAGAAGGACCAGAACCACTTTCCTCTCCATATACAACTTGATTAGAATAATGGCCCCGCCATTTTTGTTCTCGTCTATTAACTCCACAACTCCTCACTTCATGCTCATGTGCGCTACCCCTCGTCTCCTCACAACTCACAAACATGGTGACGCTGTTCCGCAGAGTCTGGGAATCAGTTTCTACTCGTTCGGCGTCCGGTTCCAGACGTTACCCCAGCGATGGATTTCAACAGCAGATGTTTATACGATCGTTGTCGGCGGGGGAGTTCGACAGGATACCGACCGATATATTCCTCCTAATCGTGAAGCTCCTTGGCCCCAAGGAGGCGGCGAAGCTCGCCGCCGTCTGTAAGTTGTGGCGATTCGTCCTTTCGGATAACAGGCTTTGGATTTACTTCCTTCAGATTCAACACGAGCCTTGGGATTCTATATTCTTCGCCGAAACTCACTTGCGATCGGGCTATTCTCTTTGGTATAAGTTTTTGCCTTTGAATTTCTGTCTTCTGTCGTGAATGTCAGCTTCACAAAAAACAATTAGGAGAGAAAGCTAATCAATGAAACCAGAATTGTGGATTTATAACTGATTCATACGTGCTAATATGGCAGGGGTGAAGCCGTGAGCTGCCCTTCAACCCCACCCAACACCCGGAACACCCCATAATATATACGCACAAACTGTGTTTTGCTTTATTTATTTATATTTAAATTTTAGAAGGATGGGCATAACAGTGAAGCGGTGGAAATGCGCGGTAAAAATGAGCTTAGCAACCAGAGTTCAAATCTTGTCAGGCCTAGTTACATTTATTTTCGTTTAAATGGATCAAATGTATTAATTCAACAAATATTTTTGAAAATGTTCACAATCACATCTTTGCACACACAAATAATAAATTGGTACCTCTATTATCAATACTTTTAAACTTATAACTTTAGTAAGTTCTCACTATTTAGTTCTAACTATATCTTTTAACACACAAATCATAAATTGATCTCTTTTATCCACAATTTCATTTATAACTTAAATAACTTCTAACTATATAGTTCATTTCGGGTGTGTTTGACATTTAGCTCTTAGCGGGTAGCGGGTAGTGGATAACGGATTACTTTACTAGGTTGTTAATATTGGGTTATTTTGGCTGTAGCGATTAGTAAGTAATGCTCTATTTGAAAACGCTAGCCGAAAATGTTTTTAGTAAGTAATGCTGCTATTTGTACAAAGGGTTTACAGTTCAAGTATCTTACTTGCTGTAAAGAATGCTTTGCGGCATTTTGTACCAAGTGAGGGAAGAATAAGTGGTGGGCGTAGGTCTGAACTCATTTGTTGGTTAAACCATGTGCAGGTCATTTGCTAATCCGGTTGCTGAACTTTCATTCATGCATATTTATGGTCAGCGTGCCAAGGTCCCTGGAACCATGATTATTGATGGTGCGCACTAGGAGTCTAGGATACTGGTTTTACTCTGTTTTAAGTAGGCAGCCTTTAGGGTTCTGGTTGGTCTTTTTTTAATTTTTTAATTTTTAATTTTATTTTTTTGCTACTAAAACAACAGTTAAGGGTTTGTAGTACCCTGACAAGGTACTACAAGTCTTCAATATCCTTTTTTCTGAGATCTTATTCTTTCATTGATTTCATTCTTCTTTTCATGAAAAGGTGGTTCGGGCTATTGCAAGTATGGATGGAGTAAATATACTCGTCCATCAGGGAGATCAGCCACATTTTTAGTAAGATCTCTTATAAGCTTCTCATAGCAATTGGCAACTCATTAAAATACAATTTTGTCGACTCGGGATGTTCTTTCTTTTAACCCTGTGCTATCAGAGTTTGAATTTTATCCTCTTCTTGACTTTTCTTGTCTAGGAATTTGGTAACATTGAAACTCCAATGTATTCTAGGCTGAGGCATTTCTTCTCGACCATATATAGCAGGTTCCCTTTCCTAATAACTTTATCATATACTACCTCCGTCCCCTTAAGTTTGGGGCAAGAGAAGGTGGCACAGTTATTAATAAAAGTGAGTTTATGTGGTTGATATTGAATTGATAAAGTAAGAATAAAGTAAGGATGATTTAGAACCACACAAATTTTACCAAATAAGGTATGAGACAATCTTAGTGGGACGGACTGAAAAGGTAAAATGGGACAATCATAGCGGGACTGAGGGAGTATATATATATATATATATATAGGAAAATGTTCAAGTAAGGTAGGCCTAAGAATTGTAATTCTTAGGCCTCTTTCGTTTCAGGTGCTTCCGAGTCGAATTTTTTGATGAAATTTTGTGAGAATGTATTTCATGAAGTGTAGACTATGCCCACCAAATTTCAGATTAAAATTCAATCGGAAAGTTGGCTAAATATTTTTTTCATATTGTGCAGGTTTTTATATATATAAAATGCAGTTTTTTTTCAATAATTTATTTAACTGACTTCTCGATTGAATTTTATTGTGAAACTTGGTGCACATAATCTACAATTCATGGAGAACATGCTTACAAAATTTCATCAAAAAAATCGACCCGGAAGCACCTCAAATGAAAGATGCCTAAGAATTACAAGCCATAGGCCTACCTTACTTGAACATTGTCTATATATATATGTGTATGTATATATATATATATATATATATATATATATATATATATATATAGACACACACACACACAGATATATATATATATATATATAGGGGAGGGTTCTAGTGAGAACCCCTCCTAAAATGAGAACTTTTAATCTCTTCGTGTCATTTATTGCAATCATTGGTTATGATTCACATGGAGTCACATTCATAATTACCCTAAATTCAAATTCAAATGGGGCCTTTTTGCAATTAATCCTAAATAATTACAATAATGCCATCTTGTCATTATTAGCCATTGATTGCAAATTTGAATGATGGAGATTAAAAGTTCTCATTTCGATAATTACAATAATGCCATCTTGTCATATATATATATATATATATATATATATATATATATATATATATATATATATATATATATATATATATATAACAGTGTATTGGGAGAAATAATCATCTACCTTCATAATTGAACTTTAGCATTTGAAAGGAACACCGCAAAGATATCCACATGATATATTTCTACTTATGTTTTTGCAGCTGTATTGTGTTAATATAAAGACCCGAGACATGATTGTTGTGACTCAGCTCCACATAAAAACTTCTTGTTCGAAACACTTTGATAGTATTTATGCAAAAAAGAACTGGAATATATAGACCATCAATTGCTTCATAATGGTTAGGTTGATAATCTGTATTTTTTGCCATATGTCTCCTTGGGCATCTCTTTGGTGAGATCAGTTTATTATTACTATGTCTTCTCTTGGATGAATGAATTTCAAACATAGGAAGGCTCTATGCGCTAGAAAGAAATGTGAAAAAGATATATTTACCATTTCTTTTATCATCTTCTTGACCATTTTAAGAACTAGAAACAAATTGTTTTTTTGAAAATATCGATACTTGTAAACAATGTCAATCGTTCTATTATGCGAACCTTTATATTTTGGCCTTTGTTAATCCAATCAACTCAAAAATAGAAGAAGCACCTTCTTTGAGCGTAAAGATCTCCTACTGTAGTTGTGTCCTAGTACCCTCTTTGTATTTTGTTTTTGTGATGACATTTATATTTTCTAATGAAATAAAGCATATTGGTCACTCATTCTACATGGAATCTTTTCAGGATGCAGGTCAAAACATCAACACAACCAATTATTGTGTCCATCCCAATATGCCATTATGACGGTAAGCTTTCACTCGGTCTATTTTAAGTCAGTTCTTTATTTACAACATCTCTCTTATTTTAGCCTTTTTTTTTGAAAGAATGTACCCATTATTTTATTGAAAAAAAGTTTGAGTACAGTGCAAGAAAAAAGGGAATACAAGAAATCAAACTAGAAAGAAAGAAAGAAGACAATAAAGATTGTCTTGAGATCGTATCTCCTTCAACTGTCCGTGTGTATGTGCACACACACATTTAGATTGATCAATGTTTGTTTTTTTGTGAAAAAGACTAAAATTGATGTACATTTTTTAATACTCGGTTACTATTTTTATTAACCTTTTCCTTTGGTTGGTACTGGATTTTATATGTTTGAACTTTTATGTCTTTAATATGTGTAGTGTCTCATATTTTTTAGAGTTTAGATCTTAAATCTGAAAAATCATGCCTGATGTTTCTAGAAGTAGCTATCCTCCCAATATGTGTGCTTGCACGTGTCTTGTTACTTATAAATAGAATATGAAGTTTCATATTCTATTTCTGTTGAAAGAGTAAATAGAATATGAGTGTTTTGTTGGTTATAAACCTTTTCTTTTTGTCGATTGTATATTCTATATGTTCAAAACTTTCTCTTTTATATGCATAGTGTCTGAAATGTTTGTTTTTATGGATTTCAACTTTAGATGTCGAATCTGACAAATCGTCTCGGAAGCAGCTAGATGAAGCTATCCTCTCAACATTATTTGACTTGAATGTTCCTGCTGTTTGTGCCATTAACCAGGTCTTTTTTATGTAGTGGTTACGTCATTTTTCTTTTACTTTATCTTTAAAAGGTGACCGTAAGCTACATATGGCCTTGGGGAGTAAGCACACACATTTTTTTGCTGCACATTATTTTAGGGTGTGTCTTTATGATGTCATAAAAAAGGGCGCCCGGTGCATGAAGGCATCCTTGGGAGGGTCCGGGGAAGGGTCCCACCACAAGGGTGAATAAGGGGCTAGCCTCCCCTGTCAAATTATTGACAAGAGGCCGCTCCCAATACTTGAACACGTGACCCCTCGGTCACTCGGCATTCGGCAACACCTTAACTGGTGCGCCAAGGCTCCCCTTCTTGTCTTGATGATGTATACCTTATTTTATTCTTTAGCAGTTGAAAAAGCATTAACCTATGTAACATATCTTGGAAAACAAGGCAGCTCATCCTGCTGAGAAACATAGCTACATACTTTCACTGAAAATAATGATTGCAACCAATAGGGTATAATTTTGATAAGCTCTAGGTATTCTCTTTCTCATTTTGCATGTTTTAATTACGCATCGTGTCTATTGTACATGTGCTGCCGAGAATCTTATTTTAAAACAATCACCGTCATGATTTGTTCCTTTTAAAATGTGTAGGCAGTTTTAGCTTTGTTTGCAGCAAGGCAGACGTCGGGAATAGTTGTCAATATTGGTTTTCACCAGACGTCTGTTGTTCCAAGTAAGACAGGTCTTTTTAGATTTAAATATGCAGTGTGCATTATGTTGTTCCCTAATGTTTGGCATTTTTTCTGTTGCAGTTCTAAATGGTAAAATTATGCACAATGTTGGTGTGGAAACTATGGGAGTGGGAGCTTTAAAACTTACGAGTTTCCTCAAGGATCAGATGCAACAAAAGAACATATATTTTGGTTCACTTTACACTGTACGCACATTAAAGGAGGTAGTTCAATTTTTCTTCTCAATTATCATGTGGCCTTCCACTAGCTTGATAATACCCTACAAGATATAGATATTCCAAATCCTGGTATCAAATACCCCCCCATATCACTTTTCTCCTTGAAGAATTTTCGGGATGAGTCTACATGAAATGGCATATTGTAATCTCCAGTATTTGGTTGAATAAACTTCGTAGTTGAATTTTTTAAGTCGCTTGATATCTCTGTCATTTATTTTCTCAATAAAATTTTACCTAATTTGTTGAATGTTTTTATTTCCTCTCTTTGGACTTACAGAACCTCTGCTATGTCGCTCCTGATTATGAGGCCGAGCTATCCAAAGACACAACAGCCTCATTTCAAATTCCGTCAGAAGGTGTATTTACACTTGATAAAGAGCGATTTCAAACAGGAGAAATTTTGTTCCAGCCTCGGATTGCAGGAATGTAAGTCCATATGCTATTTTATTCTACAAATCATTTGGTAATGCTGGCTCTTTTTTCCCCTTCCTGATTTTCTATCATAGCTATGCTATTCATTTAAGAAGTACACTTTCATAGACACATAAATGCCCTTAACTGCAGGCGTGCCATGGGTTTACATCATGCTGTTGCATTGTGCATGGAGCACTGTCAAGAAGCAGAACTTATTGCCAATGAAACCTGGTATAGAACTGTAGTCCTGGCTGGTGGTACTGCATGTTTGCATGGGCTAGCAGGTAAATAGAAGCTTCTTTAATTGGTTGTTCATTATATACCCTTTGGCATATATGAACCTCATAAGACTGATATAAGGAAAGCCGGAGATTACGTTTACAGAAATAAAGCATCAAGTTTTTAATTAAACTGCTTTTTTTGTACTGCCTCCCACCCTCCCCAGAAAGACTAGAGCAGGAACTATGTGGTCTTCTTCCCCCATCCAAGTCATTTGGTGTCAAAGTACTTCCTCCCCCTCATGGTGTAGATTCTGCATGGTATGGAGGAAAGCTCATCAGCAATGTAAGCTACTGCACAGTGCATATTGTCTCATCTCTTATAATTCTGAAAAATGCTTTCGAGTTCGTATATAATATGAAATCATCTGGCTTTAGTAATAAAAGAGAGATCTAGAGAGTTACTCGCTACAATTTTTTGTGCAAGGCCATAATAAAACATACTACGTATAACAGACACTCTTATATCAAGCACTTATAGGCATACTAAGGGAGGGCCAATCCGGGCCGTGGCGTGTCCTAATTTGAGAAATATTTTTTTATTCATGTGTTGGAAGTTATACTATAAGAGTTTATATGAATAGTTTATTTCTAATCACCCCACATTTTATTTTTCTGAGTCATGGCTATGGGTGTCGCCGTGTCGGTAGTCAGTACTCTCATATATTGTTTTAAAAGAAATACTTTGTATGAGATACTTGGGCCGGAGTATTATATTATCTGGATTATTATCCTAACTGTTCTGTTACTTATTTATCTTGTTCAAATTATCAAAGCCTTGAACACGAGTACTAGTTTTATGTTCCCATATATTTTGTAATGTCGTGTTTGTTTTGTTTGCACAGTTGAGTACCTTTCCGTCTTCGTGGTGTGTGACAAAAAAGCAATTCCGCCAGAGGTCCAGGCACAAACTCCTATGGTGAAAAGTAAATACCTAGTAAATACCCTGTGATCAGCGCTATCATAGTTTTTTATACACAGTTCCTTGAGCAGTACATTTTTCTCTCAATTTGGTGTACAAGGTGTGAATAAAACCAAAAAAAAAATATGCTTGTAATTTAACACATGCACAGAGCACTAGGAATTTATACTACATGTAATTCTTTTGTTTGGGGTACTTCCTACTATTTGTATTTAGGGTTTTCCCTGTTTTAGTGATATTGTTACTTTTTTTTGTTTATCGTATACGGATAGAGTATAAACAAACAATATATATTGCAAGAAAGAAACTAAATAGTTACTCCCTCCGCCCCGAGTCCGTATATCATATCACCGGGTGTACGTACATCCAGCCCATATTTAATTGAGTTACTAAACCGCAGGGCCCATACTTCAAAAGCCCAAAATGTAAGCCACCAGGGAGATTCGATCCCTATACCTAAGATATAACACACGCATCCTTCCAACCATCTCGCCAACTTGGAGATTCGATCCCTAGACCTAAGATATAACACACATCCTTCCAACCATCTCGCCAACTTGCCTTATAGAAATAATCCGTTCTTTTATCTTTCTTATCCTACATATTTTCATACTCCATACTACAATTGTTTGTTAATAATAATTATAATATTAACTATTCTTTGCTTTTGCTCATTATTATTATATTAAAAGACTAATTCATGTTTTTGAAGTATTTATTTGATCTAGGAATCATACTATTGATTTATTTATAAAAAAAAATTATAACTTTGTTATATATTGTTGGGTTCCTAATAAGTTCGATGCTCATCGAAAGTGTTTTAATGCTCATAATATGTCTGATTTACATTAAAAGTTCATTAATGCTCAATGAATATGTTGTTATGTCAAACTAACAAACTTTGCAATATTCATATCAACGAACATTTTGTAAGTTACGTATGCTCATCCCGTACTAATCTCATGCTCACTTTCTAAATGTCATATCAATGCATTTTCTTTAAAGTACTATTTTACATTAGGTTCACATATTGAAATTCATAGGAGTTGATTAGAAATATAATTTAATAAGTTTTTATAAAAGGAAAAATAACAAAAAGAAAATGAATTAGAAGTTATGAAGCAGAGATCACGATTCTGAATATTAGACTTCTAATACTCAACATAATAGGTTTGATGCTCATCAAAAGTTCATTAATGCTCATTCACCAGAAACCGTGATTTTCATTTCAATAGCGGATATTTGATGCTCAATTAAAATGTCGTGATATTCAACTAACAAATCTTGTGATTTTCATATCAATGTGCACTTTATAAATTACGTGTGCTCGTTTAGTACCGATGTTATGCTCATTATTAAAATGTCATATCAATGCATATTTCAAAAGTATCATATAAGCAAATTAACATTGATATGATATTTTAAAATGAGCATAACTTTAGTACTGAATGAACATATGTAACTTACAAAATAAGCATTGATATGAAAATATAAGTTTTGTTAGCTGAGCATCAAGACATTTTTATTGAGCATCAAACTTCCTCTATTGAGTAATAGAAGGATGCAATCAACTCTCATTTGAATCTAACGTAATATGATATTTTTGATATATGCATCGATATGACAATTTAAAATGAGCATAAAATCAATACTAGATGAGCACACGTAACTTACAAAATGAGCATCGATCGAATAGTTCAAAAGCGCAGTTGAATTCTCTAATGTCTTAAAATGAGCATTTGTGTATTGTTAATGAGCAATTGTGTTATTACAAGAAAGCTTATATTACAATTAAAAACGGCCGGTGAGATTTTCGTAATTTTAGTGAAAATCGCGGTTTTTTCAGATGAGCATTAATACACTTTTAATGAGTATCAAACGTATTCTACTGAGCATTAAGAGTCAAAATGAGTATTGTGATATCAACTCATATATTGTAATTCACTTTCTTTTTATATTTTTCTTTTATAGAAACTTATTAAATTATATCTACAATCAATCCCTATGAAGTTCAATAGGTGAATCTAATGTAATATGATAATTTTGAAATATACATTGATATGACATTTTAAAAATGAGCATAACATCACTATCGATTGAGCATTTGTAGCTTACAAAATAAGCATTAATATATGAAAATAATAAGCTTTGTTAGTTGAGCATTGAGACATTTTCATTGAGCATTAAACATCCTCTATTAAGTATTAGAAACGTGCAATTGATTGTCGATTGAGCATTCGTAAATTATAAAATAAGCATTAGTATGCCAATCATAATTTTTTTTTAGTTGACCGAGCATCAAGACGTTTTCATTGATCATCAAATCTACTCTATTGAGTATTAAAAAAATACAATTTAATATCGTAGTTTGTGATCTCGTATCTGTAATTAACTCATACATGAATCCAACGTTTTAATATGAGTATGACATCATTACCCAATGAGCATACATATCTTAACAAATGAGCAATTATATGAAAATCATAAATTTTGTTAGTTGAGCATCAAATAATTTAATTTACAATGAGAAATATGATACTTTTAAATTAAAAATAATTTGTAGTATTTTATTTTGAATTACAAATATAATTGTGTTGTCTTTACGATATTTACTCATGCATATTTATTTTACACTATACTCATTTCAGTAAATTAAAAATAATTTGTAATTAACACATAATATTTAATATACTAACACATATTCATCTTAAAATAAAAAACAGAAGGAAAAAACATTAAAACCTAAAACACTTTATAATGCACAAATAAAAAAACTTAAGTTAAAAGATTGATTGGAAAAAGAAGAAGAAACAAACTGGAGCATTAACAATATTTTAGATTATACAGTTGCATAATTACTGAATAAAAAATTAAAGCATGTTAAAGAAGAAAATAAAGAAAAGAAAGAAATGAAAAAACAAACAACAAAAGCAACGAAACAGAAAAGCAACGAAAACTATAAAGCAAGAAAAGAAGGTGAAAAGCAACGGAAAAAAGAAAACAAAAAAGAAAGTGCAACCGTAGCTATCAACCGAAGAGGCGCCGGAAAAAGAAAAGCAGCGGCCATCCATGCGGACCATGCCCAGCGGAAAAGAAAAGCAGCAGCGGCCTAATGTTTACTATCTAATTACAAAAAAAAAACCAGGCTGTAACATGCCCTAGGTACAACCAGGTGTACGATATATTACCCTCCGCCCCCTTTTAAATGCCCCGTTTTACAATATTGAGATGTCTCTATTTAAATGTCTCATACCTTATTTGGTAAAGTTTGTGTGGCTCAAAATCATTCTTACTTTATTCTTACTTTATCAACCACACAAACCCACTTTTCTTAAAACTTGTGACACCCTCCTCCGGGACATTTAAAAGGGGACAGATGTAGTATGATTTATGATATAACATAAGCTGGATGTGGGGCAAACCCCTTTCAAGTCTCATCCGAATGGAGAGCAGTAGGGGTGGACCGGGCCCGGTCCGGTTCCTGGGCCCGACCGGGCTTGGATGGTTATGGGACCGGCCCGGGAGTCTACCGGTTCCGGTTCAATTTTTTTTGTTTTTTGTTTTCTTATTTATTTCGACCCCCCACCCCCCACCCCCCAAACCCCTCGGAAACACCCAGTCCAGCCCACCTAAACCAAGCCCAAACCCAAAACCCCCCCCAAAAAAGGCCCGAACTGGGCCTGGATCGGCCGGTCCGGTTCGCCCTTTTCATGGCCCGGAACCGGTTACCCCCTCGGGCCGGGCCGGTTCCGCACAGTAGCGGGCCGGTTCCGGGCCGGGCGGCCCGAACTGAGTCCATGCCTAGAGAGCTGGCAAGTCTTGTATTTGAAAACACAGTTTGAATTGCAAAGGAAAAGAACATTATTATTTTAAGTTCAAAGTCAAAACATCATTGGATCTTTAAAGAGTAAAGAGTTAGTTTGGTCCTCGAAGTTGCATAAAAGGGGTCAAATAAGTCCTTATATAGGAGGTTCTATCCGGCTGTCGCCATTTGGGGCTGTTCCTGGTGCTATTTTTTGATGAAATTTAATGATCATCTTATTCATTAAGTCTAGTTCACATATACCAAATTTCAGATACAAATTCAACCGGGAAGACATTCAAATGAATTCTTGAAGATAACTGTGCAGTTAAAAGCGTTGTTATCTTCAAGAACTCATTTGAATGCCTTCCCGATTGAATTTTTAGCTTAAATTTGGTATGCGTAAACTAGACTTAATGAATAAGATGCTCAAAAAATTTTATCAAAAAATTCCACCGAGAACCGCCTCAAATGGCACGTTCGGACAGAATCTTCTATATAAGGACTTATTTGACCCCTTTTATGGAACTTCGAGGACCAAACTGACCCTTTACTCGATCTTTAAAGGCAGGAGACTCGGGACAAGAATGTTATTGAAGTTTTTTTTGTTGGTAAATAAACTAAGAATCCCAATTAATCAATCAATTGCCTGTTGGCTTACAATACTATAAGGAGTTAAATTTATGTTTTGATTTTAATCTCTGTCACCGCCAGTCTACTCCACCTTGAACTCTCCTCACCTCGCATTTGTAACTTGCTGCCCGAACTCTATTATTGAGCATCACACCACCCTTTATACATGTTGTTAGCACACTCAATAATACCTGCTCTCATTTTCTCACCTGCTTTCGGACCTTACCATCTCTCCATTTCCATATGCTCCACAAAGTCTGTCCCAAATCCCAATCCATCCCTAATTCCACCTTGAACTCTCCTCACCTCACATTTGTAACTTGTTCCCCGAACCCAATTGTTGAGCATCACACCACCCTTTATGCATGCACTTAGCACACTCAAATACTCAATAATACCTGCTGCTCCTCTTCTCACCTGCTTCCAGACCTTATCATCTCTCCATTTCCATATGCTCCACAAACTCAACACTCACTTGCAACATCCCGTATCATCCAACCCCTCCATACTTTCTTTCACCCACCCTTCAAAAGAGCCCGCTACCCTGCTGAAACGAGCTCCTAGTTGTTGTCATACGGGTTATTGAAGATAAACTAATGGACAAAAAGTGACATTTTTAAAATTTTCAAAAAATGAGACTAAAATCTAAAAAGGCTTAAGAGCATCACTATGGGATAAAAAAAATTGATCCCACTTGATCCCCACTATGGGTGGTCAAAAAAGTGTTCGATCAAAGTGGAAGATCTAGGATGGGATCTGACATTGTTGATGCTAACTGTGATTTTAGAAATGTATTTTTTTAGTTTCCTCAACAAAAAATGTATTTTTTTAGT